ATATATATATATGTATATTATAGTTATCAGAATATTAATTTTGAGTTATTTAAAAATTAATTAATAAAATCAAAATTGATTAATTTTTATAATATAAAATTACTAGTATACAATCCAATAAATTTTATAATTATATCGAACAGAAATGGATCATGACTAAATTGCAGCCGCCGGGCCAATTTTCCACATCACTACCTTAAACTTCCTCAGCTCACTCGCCTACCCACCAATGGCCTTCACCTCCACTGTCCAATTCCAGCAAACAATCTTCTTCGACTCACTGCAATCGTCTTTCTCCCGCCGATTCGCCTATTTCCGTCGTATCCAATCCTCCTCTCCATTCAACCTCAAACAATGGCCTCTTCATTCCCTCAATCACTTTTCCATCCGCAGCCGAAAACCTGACGCTAGGCCTCGAATCTCCGTCACAACCCCTACGAAGATTAGTTTTCATGTGGACGATTCCACGTCCACCCCCACCTGGATCAAATGCTGGGGCAGAGAATCCCACTTCCGCCTCCTCCCTAAGAGGCCGCGCGCCGCCCTTGATTACCGCATCGGTCTGTCCAGCGATGACGAGGAGTTCGGCACCAGCGCGAGCACTGGAAGCAGCACAATGTCGAAGATCGTGGACAAGCTCAAGAAAATTGGGTACATGGATGACACTGGTGAGATAAAGGAGCAGCCTCTGCCCGAGAAGGGATCGGTGGAGGATATCTTCTATGCCGAGGATGGGATCCTGCCCAATTTTGGAGGTGGCCTGTCGTTGGATTTGAATGAAGAGGTTCGGTTCCCGTGGGAGAAAACTCGGAGCGGCATGGAGTGGGAGGATAATGGCGGGGATTCAGTGCGGAAGAAGAAAAGTAAGACCATGTTGGCGGAGCTGACGCTTCCTCAAGGGGAGCTCAGGAGGTTGAGGCACTTGGCTATAAGGGCCAAGTCCAAAACTAAGATTGGTGGCGCGGGTGTTACCCATGAAATTGTTGATGCTATTCGGGAGAAGTGGCAGACTACAGAGGTGGTGAGACTCAAGTGTGAGGGAGCGCCAGCCCTCAATATGAAGCGCATGCATGAGATATTGGAGGTTTGATATTCTTTATTTTTAAATATTGAGATTGCCCTCTAAACCATACTGTAAACTTTGAAGAAAATATCGGTTATCTAATTCTAATTTCATAAAATGTGGGTTTTCTATCCTCAAGTTTATCCAATTTCAACTGCTGTGGATTCTTTTCAGAGACTTGTGATTTTTTTTTCCTTATTTGAACACCAAAAATTTCCCTTGGCCGCTAGTTTTCTGTGGGATACACTACATTCTTTCTCTATTCTCTTTAAAAAAAATTATACTATTCCTAATACAACATGTTAGCTTTGAATTTATGTTTAATACATAATCTCTCAGTGCCTACATACTGATGAAATGAAACATAGCCTACTATGAAAAATACTCTCTTTTCAGTATGTGATACCTTAAGTTTCTTTCAGGCTGGTAACTGATTTCTGAACTAATCACTATGGTTTGTGTTTCTGAGATTGGATTTTGTTCCTATGCATATGCTGTTTCTGAAGAAAACAGCGTTTTTATTTTCTGATAGATCTCATAATGGATTGGCATTTTCTGGCATTTTATGGAGCTTTGCTTTTTTTTTTTTTTTTTCTGTGGCATTTTCTAGCATTGAACTAACTTTTATCTCCTGCTAGACTGGCAGGAGTCATTTCATGATGCGGAATTCCTGAGGCACAACAGGTTAATGAGAGACCAGATTTTTAAGCCTTATTATATGCTAAAAATCTTTGATAGAGGATAAAAATCATGGACCTACAATATAACAGTATTTCTTAAGTTACAAAGTATTTTTTTTCAAAGGAACTTCAATAGTAACAAAGTATTTTTTTTCCTTTCCAAAGGGCTATTAAAATTTGTTGTTTGAATAATTCTATTTCCATGTTGTGTCCCACTTTAAAAAATGGTTGCTTTTTAATTGTTATCTCAATTTCTTAAGCATAGAAATGGTGTAAACCTTGACAACATGGTTTTTGAACCTCTGTCTTATCTATCGCTTCGGTTCTACTCTCTAGCTTTCTCATAATGTCGAGCAAATTCATCAACTGATTTATGGCAATCCAACATAATCTTGATCACTACAGTGATGTTTTCACTTCTTTGGATTATAGTTATGACAACAATACACTTGCCCACTACAAATGTTTGTAGAATATAAGGTCAATTGTGATACAAGAGTTAAGGTGAGGATTGTCCTCTTTATGATCTTTTTTAAACATATCGCTTCATTTTTGCTAGTAAATGCTAAAATAGTTTGTACTTGCCTGGCATTATTGATTCTACCAAACTCTCTGAAAATTTTCTAGACAATTCCTCATTTCTTATTCTGTTTCTCTTAAAAAATTTAAGCTAATTTTTTATATCTATCACCTGACAATAATCAGAGAAAAACAGGAGGGATGGTGATATGGAGATCAGGAACATCTATTTCACTATACAGAGGAGTAGACTATGAGAATACTAAACCCGCAAAAAAGCAATATCATAATATTCCAAATACTTATGATAGACCTCTAAATACCTTCAAGCATTCAAAAATTTCAACAGATAATTTGAAAAACACTGATTTGCAAGATGATTGTCCAAAGAGCATTGATGTGCAACATTATGACATAAAAAATATTGATGTGCAAAGTAAGGGTGAGCATTTGACTCCTTTTGAGAAGAAAAATGACACAGGACTGTCTTCTGAAATCAAATATGAAGATGAGATTGATAAGCTGTTAGATGGTCTTGGCCCACGATACACAGATTGGCCTGGAAGTGATCCATTACCTGTGGATGCTGATTTACTTCCCGGGATTGTTCCTGGCTTTAAACCTCCCTTCAGAGTATTTCCTTATGGAGTAAGGCGCACTCTGGGGCTAAAGGAAGGCACTGCATTAAGGAGGCTCGCAAGAGTGTTGCCTCCTCATTTTGCCCTTGGTAAGTATACATCGTTTTAATTATTTCGCTATATTGACAGCATAGTTCGCATAGCATGGCTTTTTAATACCTTGTTCAGGTACCAAGTGCTTATGTTGTCCCCTTGTTTTTTATTGGGAAATTTACATACGTAGCACACAATTCTTGTGTATTTACATATCTCACAACTAAACTTTCCTATTTACGTAGTACTTTGGTGCTTTAAACCTATGCATAAAAAGGTGTATTTCGCTTTTAAAAATGGTGATACTGCTATTTTTGATGTGATATTAAAGAATGGAGTTTTATGCATGTAAATATGAAACTTTAGGTTTGAGATATGTAAATACATAAGGATTGTGTGCTATGTATGTAAATGCTCCTTTATTTTTGTTGGTTATAAATAGGCAGAAGCAGGCATCATCAAGGGTTAGCTGTGGCAATGGAAAAATTATGGGAAAAAAGTTGTATAGCGAAGATCGCTTTGAAGCGCGGAGTGCAACTTACTACCAGTGAAAGAATTGCTGCAGAAATCAAGGTAAAATGTTTTTCCTGTTAGCATCATGAACGTCATTTTCATTTTATTAGAACTCTGAGTAACGTTTTGATATTCCATTCTGAAAATTGGCTTTTCACATTTGCTATCCTCTCCCGTACCTGATTTACTCTTGCTACTTGTATTGTTCTCCCTTTTCTTTCTCTTGCTTTTTCCTTGCTCAATTCATTGAACTAAATTTTTTTGTTGTGCACATCAGGATATTTACTTGTGTGGACAAAACTATTTTTCGATTTGATAAAAAAGAAAAAAGTTCTGTAGCTCAATCTAGGAGTTTTTTTTAATTTCATCAACTATTAATCGGAAAAAGGATTCATGTAGCCGACCCCACTTAGTGGGATAAAGGTTTAACTGTCCATCAAAAAAGTCTGCTGAGATTCATTAATTATTTTTCATTAAAGGAGATTGCTGCCGGGGATTTGTCTTCAGGGAGCGATATTGCTTTCTATTGCTGCTTATCTTAAAATCTTAAAATCCGGTTTGTATTTATGATTTCATGTATGCTAAAATCTTCAAAACCCTTTGATTATGCCATCTTATGAGTCTTCGTACATACTGAGTTTTCTATTTCATTGTTTACCATTCTGAACCCCAATTTCCTTATGTTTTATTGGTCGTGTTAATCTAAAGTTTTAGTATGCTTTCTGCAAATTTCCTAGTAATGATGGTCATTATAATTGCAGGGCTTGACAGGGGGTGTAATTCTTTCGAGAAATAAGGATTATATTGTCTTTTATAGAGGTAAAGATTTCTTATCCGCAGAAGTAAGTAAGGCATTGGTTGAGAGAGAAGCATTAGCGAAGAACCTGCAAGATGAAGAGGAGCTGGCAAGAATTAGGGCCTCTTCTTCAGTTCTTTCAAACAGCAAGACTATTGAAGTAACTGAAGAGCAAGGCACAACTGGCACCCTTGTAGAGACGCTAGAAGCTGATGCCAGATGGGGAAAGAAACTAGATAATGACTATGAGGAAAAGATGATTAAAGCTGCAGAAGCAGCAAGGCATGCTGACCTTGTGAGAAAGCTTGAGAAGAAACTTTATCTTGTAAGAATCTGACACTTAACGATTTGTCAAAGTAGCCTTAATGCATGCATTGTACATATTGCAAGTACTGCATATTAAATATTTCATAAGATGGACAAATACTTCCTAAATCTAATTATTGTGGTTAAACTCCAAGTAATTCATTGACGATTCGTATGCAGCTAATTTAGTTTCGAAGTGTTCCATTTCTCTGATTTAGTCGCCCGACTTTACAAAATTGATCCGAAAAGGTCCCTCAGGGTTGAATTGGCATCACTTATATACAGCTGAGAGACTAAATGAGATCACTTTTATACAGCTGTGTGTCATACTTTTCTGATAAAAAATGCATTGTCTAGAGACTAAATTGGAGAAATATGCTGCTCTAGAGCTAAATTGGTCACACTGTCAGTTGGGGGACTATTTTGGGAGTTAATCATTATTATATGTTTATAAAATTTCTCCAATGTGCTTGTTTGTCGTTAGAAATTAGAATATGTGAGTTATGATGGCTTGTAGATTTTGGAATTTAGATGTTACTTCATTCATTGAGGGCATCGTTTTCCATCAAATAAATTGTGGGTGGCGTGATAAGCATAAACAAAAAATTCTTCTAGTTTTGTTAATGCACACTCAACATGACTTTTTAAAGAGAGTTCTTTGCATCTCAAAAAAATTGACGGAGATTGTTTGATCTGGGCTTATGCTTGCAGTTAATGAGTATTTTTTTAATTAAATTTTTTTATTTTTTGCATTTTTAGCTGATGTATTAAAAAAGATTTTGATTAATTTTATTTTGAGTCTGTTCCTTTGAAGATAATATTTTTGGTGTTCAGGATATTTTTTTCAATTACCTCCACGTGTCTTTTTTCTTAAATATAAGACCATAAGGCTTATTGTAATTTGATGGAATGATTAATCCATTATTTTTCTCTAGCAGCCCGTGGTATTCTCCTCTCCTTGCACATCTCTCACTCTCTCTCTCTCTCTCACACACACACACACACACACATTTTGCTCGTCTATTTCTTTCTTTTTTTATTTTGTGTACCCGATTCTCTCTTTACCACCCTCATCTCTTTTGTCACTCCCTCATGATATTTCTTTCTTTTCTATTGTTTTCATCTTTTCTCTCAGTTGGACTGTCATTTCTTTCTTTCTTTCTCATCGGCTTTCAATATTTCCCTTTCAGTGACACACTCTCTCCTAAACACTTTTTTCTTATGACCCCACTTCTCTTTCTTATACAAGCTATTGCAATATGATAAAAATAAATTTAAGGCTCATTTATTTCCTATCCTAAATTGAAACATTTGATATAAAGTTGTAGGGGATGCTATGAACAAGTTAAAAGGGTTGAGAAAGTAGGATGCATAGAGAAGAAGATGGGGGAAGAAGAAATCCAACACACCACTTAGAATGAGGGAGAAGCAATATAGAGTACATATTTATTGGACGTACAAAAAAGAATTTTAAGTGACATTATATTTTAGCTTGCATTGTAGTTTCTTTTCAACCAAAATTAAACATGCCTAAGTTGTTGATTCTATTAAGAACGGGTTGTTTCTTTCAATATTTTAATTTTCTTTTGGCTTGGTTAACTACTGTCTGGATCCTGCTTCTATCGATATCATAAACAATCTAGAATTTAGCTTTCAAGGTGTCCTATTCTATGACATTTTAGAATTTTGTTATATGCAATATCCTTTCCTATGGTTTCTTTTAATTTTTTCACTATGCTTTTCTATTGACAACTGTTGTTTGCTGCATCCTATGGAAGTTTTACGTTTGCTGATGCTACTGTCATAATTCCTTAGATGAAGTGCCATAAATGTTGTTTACACTACAATCATAGAATTATCCCAATACAATTTTGGAACCTTATTGCCACTAACTGAGCTATAGTTTCTTGCTCTTTTGGAAGCTTGCTTTTGCTATCACTATAGTTTCTTGTTCTTTTGGAAGCTTGCTATTGCTAATGCTAAAATCCCAAATTCTAATCCCTATTGATTTTTATTGATTTAGAAAAAGCTTATGATAAGATTCCAAGAGAAGTCCTTTGGAGAGTTATAGAGAAGAAATGTGTTGATATAACTTATATTCAAGTCATTAAAGTACACTAGAGTTGATGTTTGCGCTCGAATAGAGGGAAGATTGATAAAGTATTTTCCTATTTCAGTTGGATTACATCAGGGTGTAATAACTAATTTTGAGAAATTTGATAAAAATTTTGGCGGCTGAAAATATAGCCCAAATTTTGTAGCTCTCAAATTTTAATCAAAATAATATTATAAAATTCTACGTGTCAAATCAATTAATGCGATAAATAATACTATATATAAATTTTGAATAGATTGGAAGATATAAAAATTGGAAGTAATAAGTTTAATCAACTTAATCTAACCTTAATTATTCTTAATATTGCACTGTCACTGTAGCCAACTGACTCGACCCATGCGTTATATGCATCGATTAGGGTAATCCTTCATCCAGGCTCTTGAAATTTCTCCTCTCCTCTCCCTATACTCCTCTCCCCCCCGCCGTTTCGCCATACAGAAGACCCAGGGAGAGCTGCGATCACAACACAACCCACATCCGTGAACAAAAAAAGGCGAGCAGACTAGTGGAGTTGCACAAGAGGTTTCTCTCAATTCCTTACAAGCGTCTGCGTGACCTGCACTTCAACAGAGGTGCAATCGACAACAGACGACTCACAAATTGTCGCAATCGGCATTTTAGGGCTCCAATGTGATTTCACCATTGTAAGTGTCGAACTTGTGTTGGAAGTGTTGAAAGTGTTTTGCGAGCTTCCATGAGGATTTTAACATTAGCATCAACGAAGGAGAAAAGAGATTTGAGTTGTTAGGAAGAAGAGGGAAGAAGTTTTAGCAACTTGGAGAAGTGTTGGGTTGCCGAGAAGCCGTTTAAGATATGTTTTAGCAAATCAATGCTCTTTTAAACTAAATCACCTTATGAACTAATACATCTTGAATTCCTAAGTCGTTTAAGATTTAAGGTTGTTTACCCGACATGACGAGTTCAAGGCAAGCGTATAGAAGATCGTCGTAAGATGACTCTGTACATTTAAGGTAACATAATTATATGCTAATTTAAAAAGAATAATTTAATTTACGGAAATCATTTGAATCTTAGGGCTTGTTTGGGGCAGCTGCCCTAGAAAGTTGCTATGCAGAAGTTGCTGTAGATAAGCTGACTGACTGTTTGTTTATTACTACTTGAAAATAGCTGCAGCACAGCTGCTTCTGGACAAATGACAATTCTGTTTCTGTAGTGATTCTGTTTACAACAAAACAGTCATAATAATATATTTGATACTTTAGAAGCAAAAATCCACTTCAAAACAATGCAAAAAATAAGACATATTTGATACTTTAAAAATAATATATTTGATATTTTAGACCTGTCATAACAATATATTTGATACTTTAGAAGTAAAATTCACTTCAGAACAGTGCAAAAAATAAAATATACACCTCACTTAACAGTGAGTATCATTATTACTAAAATAAATAAAAAAATATTAAAATAATATTTAATAATATGATAATATTATTTTTAAAATGGAGACGGAGTATGTCACAAGTCTGATCGTCCTCCAGTGATACTATCTATTCTCGAGTACTCTCGATTGTAGAATTTGTCAGCCTGTCTGTTCACCAGAGGAAGTCACACTTCTTCGTGATTCTCCGCGGACATCTGTAGAACTGTCTCCCGTAGCTATGTGTCTGACATTACGTCAACAGAGAACTCTGAAATCTACAGTGACATAACAATTCTCAGGATGGACCAGAAATCTTCGAGTTTATATTTTCTGAATGCTTAAAAAAAATCTATTAGTCATAACAAAAGTATAAATTTTTTTCAAAAATAAATAATTAATTAGACGTGAGATCTTATATAACTCAGTATACCAACCAACAAATCTATTACTATAAGAAAACAATAAATCTTGTCAAAAAAAATTCTTGGCTGTCTTGAATTCACGTAATACCAAGTTCGTGTGCCACATATGCATTTTATCAAAAAAGACTATGTAAAAGAACATCATAAATTGCATCACAAAAAAAAAAGAAAGGAACTTGCTTGTCTTCAATAGGATTTTACACGTGACACAAATCAATATCGACAATCAGATCATTTTGAAGAACCCATAAGGGTTAACTTCTCATCATGGACCTCTCAAACCCATTAAAAGAAAAAAAAAAGAAATAAGAGAAAAACACTTACAAACATCGTAAAAAACCAAAACAATCATAATCAAATATACAATGAACAGAAATAAACATGAATTGCATAAAATAAACAAGTAGAAATTGATAAAAGAACTACAGTTTTGTGTAGGAGTGAAGTCTTAGAGAACTCAATATACTAACAAAGAATCTGTCACTACAAGAAGATGACAGACTTTGTAAAAAAAAAGATTATTGGTTGCCTTTAACCGATTTAATACCAAACTCGTGTATGTCACATATGCATATCATAAAAAAAAGTTCATCCAGTAGAAGCTCAAAAATCGCAGCATCGAGATGAAGAGAGGAATTTGGTTGTCTTCATTAGGATTTCACATGTGACACCAACCAATAACGACTAACAGACCATCCAGAAGAACACATAAGTTTAAACACCTTATCATATACCTCAAAAACCCACCAAAAGAAAAAAAAAAGAAGAAATGGAAAAGAACAATTACCGACAGTGTAAAAAACCCAAACAATCAATATCAAATCTACAATAAACAAAAAGAAACAAAAATCGGTCAATTCAACATCTAACAATGGCGTCTGTAACCCGCTCTGTTAATTCAACCATTTCTTCGATAGCTTTACCATCCTGGGTGCAACCTTCTTGCGAATCTACTTCTGGCTGCGGTATAAATTGTCCTATGTGATATTTAAATGTTTCAAGCGGGACGTGTAAATGATCATTGTCAGTCATGAAGTCTACATCAGTTGGAGAATGATGTCATCAAATGTAGTTGTGAAGAATCATTGAAATCACTACAATCTACACCTGTTTCGGAAATTGATACGTCGACATATCACGTCGTATAACCAATTTTTTCTTCCACACTCCAAATGTTCTTTCAATTACACCACATAATGAGTAGTGTCTCTTGTTAAACATTTTTTTTCTGCCCCGAACAACTTTTTTAGATCTTTCAAGTTGGGAATGTGATATTTCATATCCGGAAATAACATTAGATAGCCTGTTTGTAAGGGATATACAACATCGACCAAATAATATTTATCTGTCCCAAGTACAATAATTAGTAATGAACTTAAAGAATATCTGAATATGATTAATAATTGACAAATCTGGAGGTGGGTGAGGGAAGTTGTGTTTTCGATTTCTTGTCGCAAAAACGAATATATGATTGTCATGTGCACTGTTTTCCCAACTAGCCTTAACAAAAGTAAAATACATATTGAAATCAAATACGACCATCACATTTTTTGTAGGTGATCCACACCGCCCGATAATGCTACATCTTCATTATTGGATACACGTGCATTCATGTGGATTTCATCAATCGCTTCAATACAGTTCTAATAAATTAAATAAAATTGTATTAATCATGACTAATGATAGGTGTTATTGTTCACGTTTAAAACGACATGTTGCATAGTGTCGCAATGTTGAATTTGTCCGGCAGTTAAAGGGTAGAAACAATATTGTGCTTTATAGAACATATCTTATTTTATGTGAGCTATGTGAGCATGGTCTTTGTTCTATGATTACCATGAACGCTAAAGTTAGATGATTTATTTTCATAACGGTTGATCACGTTCTGGAAATGGATCATTTCATTTCATGTTTTAAAACTATTGATTCATCTCACATAACAAATTTGTACTTTAATGAAGCTTTCCAATTTTATCATGCACACATTGATAGTCAAATAAAAGTAGCCCATAAAAGTTTGGATGATTGTTACACTCTTCGATTATAGAACGTGCATTTGGTTTGACTTTCAAATTACCTATAACTGATTTAAATTAGAAATTACAATGGGAATCATATTGTTGCTAATGCTAGAATCCACGCGTCTAGCGGCATTCCAATTTTGATATTCAATTCTTTCCCACTACTGCTATTACGTCCATTTCTTGTAATTTCTACTTCTCATCTCTATCTTTTGAAGGTTTTGAAGCCTGATTGGGCTGATGTTTTCAACTAGTTGGACCATGAGCTAATACCTTAACCTACTTAGAATGAGAAAATCAGCATGCCTAGAGCCAGAGATTATAGAGTCTATGAAACGTATAACAAAAATAAAAAATAAGTTTGAATGTGAGCAAAAATATTGTTTTAATCCATTCAAAACTTTCTCAAATTTCTTGGAGCAACAAAACATTAATTCCTTGATTTTCGAAAGATTCATGGTATTCTAAGAAAAATATTTTAGTCTCCAGCACAATGCGAAGCATTAAAATTTTCTTCCACATCATAATTGCATAATCTAATCATTATATGACCCTTTGACCTTTATTGATAAGAAAATATCATTTTTACAAACTAAACAAATATATTCCAAGCTGACTTATGGCTGCATTGCTCATGTGCAAATACCAGACAATTATTTTTGTGCTACATCTATTTTCTGTCATAAGTTTCATAAAAGTGAAATTTCATTATGTTATATCGGTATTGGAGTGAGAGTAGGCTGCCAGATCCGCCACAAATCTATTTGTCTGTACCTCATGATACTCAGAAGAATTTTAGAGGCTGGATTAAGATGTCTATTTCTCCTCTTGATTTTTTCAGGCTGAACGTAAGGTCATGCGAGCTGAAAGAGCCTTAGCCAAGGTGGAGGAATCCCTGAGGCCTATAGAACGTAAAGCAGACTCTGAAAGTATAACTGAAGAAGAAAGATTCATGTTTCGTAAACTTGGGCTAAGAATGAAGGCCTTCTTGCTTCTTGGTAACTATATTTTGTTTTAAATTATAAATATATTAGTTTATGTGGCTGCAAACTTATCATATCATGTGCTTGGATTTATTAGATTGTTGAGAAACATTTCTTATTATGCTAGGGGCAAATGTGTGAAGTACCATCCCTTATGGTCTCTTTTTCATACATCATCATCTCGAGAAAAGTGTAGGCCAATTTAATCCCAAAGTTTATAAAAGTATTAATTTAATTTTCAAACTCTTTTAATATGGGTTGAAATAGTCCTTGATGAGAATCATTTTAGCCCTCATAAAAACAGCCTTGGGTCTAATTATAAACTCTCGGACTATAATGACCCGTCTAAATAGTTAGGGGACTATTCTGACTTTTTATTTTAGCCATCACTAAACCAAAAGTTTGCTTGAATATCAGTCTTGCATTCTAACTTAGCATTTCCATTATCTTGGTTCACCTTCTGTGTATATCAATCTGCTGACTAGTTCTTAAGTTGCATCATTCTTTACCTTCTTTTTATACATTGTATTTTTATAAATTCAAATCTAATTAATTTAACAGCAGAATGTCAAATCAATCCTTAGTTTCATGAGCCAGTTTTGTGCGGATCTATTACTTGAGATAAATGAACCTAGCCATATAGTTAATTAGATCTAAGAGGTATTCTAATACTGTTGTTTTTAATATTAGCTAAGATGGGAGAAATAGTTATTAGGATATATTTCTCCCTTTGATCTCCCAATCCTCAAGAGTGGCTGACTATCAACTTCTAAGTGAAATTTACATACGTAGCACACAATTCTTATGTATTTACATATCTCACACCTAAACTTCTATATTTACATACATTGCACGTTGATGCTTTAAACCTATGCATGAAAATGTCTATTTAATTTTTAAGAAGTGGTAAGAGTATGTGGTATTAAAGATTTGAGTGCTATGTGTGTAAATATAAAAGTTTAGGTGTGAGATATGTAAATACATCAGAATTGTGTGCTATGTATATACATGCCCCCATCTTTAATTAGTTGACCATGGGCATAAGGGTAGGAATACTTTTAGGGTGTGTGGAGATATTTCTTCATGAAATGGGGCAAAAAAAGGATATTGTACTGTTAATCATTTTGTGTGATCTTCTTTCTGTAAATGTTTTGCTCAATTTCCAAGGTGCTAATTGGTTTCAGGAAGGAGAGGAGTTTTTGATGGAACAGTTGAGAACATGCATCTGCATTGGAAGTATAGGGAGCTGGTGAAGGTCATTGTGAAAGCCAAAACTTTTATGCAAGTTAAGCACATTGCACTATCACTCGAAGCTGAGAGTGGCGGAGTTTTGGTTTCTGTTGACAAGATATCTAAGGGTTATGCAATTGTTGTTTTTCGTGGGAAGGACTATCATCGACCTCCTACACTCCGGCCAAAAAATCTCCTTACGAAAAGGAAGGCCTTAGCTCGTTCAATAGAACTACAGCGCCATGCGGTAATTTTTCCATTCATATTTGGAACTTCTGCTTGATTTTTTCTCCTAATTGCTTAGAAACCATATCTAACAGAACCTGATGTGTACTTTGCTAACTTTCAATATTTTTTTTTTCCCTGAAATAGGCTCTAAACAGGCATATTTCAAGTTTGCTCAACAAGGTTGAGAAGTTGAAGGCTGAATTGGTATGCGCCATATTTTTGTTTGAAATTCAGAGCTTGCTTCTTCTTCTATGAGAAACCTCTACTGGACAAAAGTTACTGTACTAATTACCAGAACTTTTTTTTTTAATTTCTTTATATGTCTGCATTCTAATGGTTTGTATGGTTCTTTATTTCTTGTAGCTTATGTCCTCTCTAATGTTATATTTCTTTTCAAAGGGTAAAATGGAAGATGTAGAAGGCCAAGGTGATGATGAATTGTACAGCAATCTTGATCAAGCTTATAATAGCGAAGAGGAGGAAAATGAGGTAAATAGATAAGTTTCTAGAAAGAAAATTATACTTAAATGATACACAGTCTTTTGTAGTTTGATGAATTGGAAACTCTAATGACGCTCGCTTGTTTGTTCTTGGCCTTTTCTCATAAAGTAATTTTCTGGTTTATATAACTAAAAAAGATCACCAAGCTTTGTTAAATACCTCATAATTTCAATTAGAATAAGGCTTCAAACCAATACATTTATTCTACCATTGTCATAAACTAAACTCTCTACTATGAAGCTACAATTCAATCTTTGAATTATACCGTTGTAATGAGCATCTCTATTCCCACACAAGTAAATGACTTGTGGTTGTTGATGTCATAAGACTTCTTTACTGATGACCTTGCATTAAAATATTTTACATGAACTTTGGATTCATCAAAAGTTCTATGCACATTTCAAATGTCTTCCACTTTCATTAAAAAAATAGTATTTAAAACTTATTGAATGGAAGCACTTGGTTTTTCAAAATAGCCGTCATGGAAGCTAAATTTCAAAGCCTCTAGTCAACATAATTATTGCCAAACATTGTAAACCCGACTTGACCGTCCATGATTTAGCTTGATCCTATCTGCTTTGACACTTGTTGTAAGGCACCCTTGATCCAGCTTGTAAGGGAGTCAGGTAACATAATCGCATGGACACATACCTCTCGCAGACTCGGTCTATGATGATGAACTCAATGACCATCTCGCTTATCCCGGCGAGGCACTAACCAACAAGGAAAATTAAGACCCCTTTTTATCAAAGGGGCATACCTTGACTTATTGCCCTTTGAAGCTATTGATGTGACCCTAAGGCGAGAATTGATGTCTCCTAAACATGTAACAAGGGGCAAGAGTTCTGGTGTTTATATCATTTGATAGTCCTACTTAAATGTATATATAAAGGTATTTTGCCGGTTGTGTACTCATGTATCTTGTTTTAAATTCAAAATCAAACATTTTGGATGCTTTGCGCTGTGTGATCATCCCTTAAAATTCCTAGATTGATAAGCTAGATTCATAAGATCAATTTCTAACTTGGGAATTGATAGCTTCTTCTAGAGAATTCACCCGCATCAATGCACTGCCTATTGTTTAGACTATTTAAGTGCTATCAAATGGGGTTAGAACCCTTAAGGTGTTATGGTTACCCAATGTCAAAAGCATTTTATGCCAACACAGATGTTCACTACACTGTCCGTTGGAAATTGATCTTATAGTTCATATATTTACATTGAATACGACGAATGTTTTTGCAAAGAATAAGATAATAATCATCAGCTTAATTATATTGGGTGAAATAATAAATTTTGAAGTTCCGCTGTATTCCAAGTATGAAGATCTTGCTAAGTTGATTATTTTAATCAAATATTTTTAAACTTTATATAGTTGTAGCATAGTCAGCTTAGCAATAGTCTGATTATCTTCATATATTCATACTCGTTTTGGTGTTATTGGAGTTGTAACTCTATTTCTTACATTGTTTCCCAACCTCATTTGTTTATCCTTAATATTTGCTACGTCGAAACTTGGAGTTCTTGTCCCTGCATTAAATTTTGCTTTTCTTTAAAGAACACATCCTTGTTTCTCCAAGCAATTTTCAAATCTTCCTATGTAAAGTTATCATCATCAAATCCTAAATTATTTTATTGTTGAGCCCTCTATCAAATCAAAGCAAGCCAGTTGTCTCACTACCTAGCACACCTTAGCAATGATGCCTTCCGGATAAGTGTGAAGTTTGACCTAGACTTGCCTCTATTGAGAGCCTAAGCGAGCACTAGACTGTCTTTAACCACCCGGAATGTTTATATGTTGGTACGTTTTTGAGTTAGAGATGTTCAAGGCATTACATAAATTTTCTAATAAACTATTCTAGTAATGCTAACTGATGCATCTTAAAAACGCCTATTCCCGGACGCTTAATTCTATGCTAGGGACTTGCTTCTATGACTCGTCATCTCTTGCTATTATTATATTTTTTAGGCGGCTTAACATTTCTTGCACTTAAGTAATTGGGCTCTCCTATAATATATCGATTACGCCTTCTAAATGCAATTGCGGACTCCCTATCAAGGTCAGCAAATTCACATGTTCATGACAACCAATTTTTAGGCTTAAGTACATTGTCTAGCTCCATAAATCAAATTCAAGTTGGTTTCTACTGACCAAGGAAACAAACACTCATTTCCTTTAATTGAGTGCCTATCAAGATATTGTCTAGGTTCTAGTTCATTTACATCCGTAGTGTTACTTCATAGTTTTGGCTTTGTCCTCTGATATGTAAAGAGTTGCAATGCAGGATTTGTAAAGGCTTCGAATAGTTCATGAAGTGGTAAGAAGATGAGAGAAGATGAAATTTGGTACGTATCTGAGGAAGTAGCCATGCAAAGTATCATTTTCATTCAACAATCATAATCTCATAAGTCTATTAGATGATATTTAGAATTCTATTTATAATAAAAGATCATATAAAATAAGATTATATAATCATATATATCATAAATTTATAAATGGTCATCTCATTATCAAAATAAAAATATAGGCTAAAAATTTACCACTTTCGTATTTAGGGAGGACTAGCGGGAAACAAAAGTTTCTAGAATACATTCTTTAAGAGGTTTAGTCATAGATCTTGTTGAAACAATCAAAAATCTTTGAAAAAGTAATAATTAATGTGAGAATTCTTGAATCCAAGATTGAACTTTGGGCTATTTGTCTTGAAGTAAACTATTGGTGATATTATTCTAGGACTCGTAAAAATTATTTAGGTAGTGAATTCTGTGGGGAGGTGGTTGTAGAATTACGAGGGAATGAAAATATTTGAGGTTAGTGGTATTTGGAAGGAGTATGAGGTGAAATCTGCTATTTGATAGTACATTCAGAGCATTCAGTGAAAAGGTGAAATACGGGTGGTGAGGAGGATTCGCCACCTCTTCCCGAACAAACTACAGACACACCAATTGTAATAGGAAGATGATACAACATTTCAGAGAGCAAAAATTTAGAGAATAAACTTTCAAAATATATAAAACAAATCTAAGTCTTGAAACTGTTAGAATCTAATCTAGAAAAAGTTCCATAATAGAAAATAACATAATGAAAAATAAATAAGAAAGAAACATAAAAGGCAAAAAATATTGTAGAAACTTGATTGGGAATGCATCCCAAGCGGGATGTCATCTTGTGATTGCGGGATGAATCCACGATCTGGAAAAAACGAGAAAGCCGAGCAATAGGAGCTGCATCCACCAAAAAATTGTGTCCCATCATTTTCTCCATGCAGGAGAGGTTTCTTTTTCTCTGAAATGGCCTAGATCCTACCGTCGAATATGCTTTCCCACAAAGCGCCAAGGAGATTTCTAAAATTGCGGTTCACAACTCCTATCTGGTCATCAATACATGGGTGCATTGCTGATTTGAACTAAAATTTTGTGCCTAACTTACGTGCTAGCACTCCAAAAGTGGCCAAGGGATTTCATATATGTCTGAAGTAATGTTCCTTGGTATTCCATAAAGATAAACTCTCTCTTTGACTTTTAATTTTGCCATATGTGATACATCCACTGTCTTGTGGCATGGAGCAAAATATGCTTTAGAGAAATGGTCTACCATTATCATGACAAAATTATTGTTTTGTAATGCCTAAAGCATCTTTAATATTGTTTTGCTATCTCTGAAGCAACTTTATAATTAAAATTTATACTCAAGTTTATCTTTAGGCAACTCAAACATGCTATTTCCAAAGTCTATTATGGTTTAATAAATTGTCATACTTCTTTGGCATAATCAGAGTTGGAGCTATATTTAGGCTAGTTCTCTCACGAACTAAGTCTCATCAAGTGTGTAACAAGTTTTATTTTCTTGCAAATTTTCTTATTTGGTTGGTCGCATCCCATAGGTGAGTGGTTTTGGTAGTAAAAATATTGTTATGAGGTCTATTGCAAGTTGAATCGCTTTCAGTGGTAGTCACGAAAGAGTTTAACTGTCATTCATGACATTCAACAACTCATCATCAAGGGTTGCCCCTTTTTTTAGTATGGGCTCCTTGGACTCACTCCATTCTATGACAACTAATGCTAATCCCCTAATCCTGATGGATTCTCTCTTCTAGGCTCGGCTTGAGTCACTAACATATCTCCTCGTTGGTTGCAAGCTGATACACTTCGACATCTTCATTTTCTCTTATGCAACTTTCCATTTCTTTAACTTCTCCATGCTCAATGAAAAAAATTATTCTCATATTTGGTCAATTTGAGGCATATTAATGTTTGGTCAATTATGTAATAATCGTATTTAAAAAAAGAAACAATTAATTAAAATAAAATTTTTACTTGATGGATGGGCCGATTTAAAAAGGTTAACTATCTCGATAGTTTCATTTTTATGAGATGTCTTATTCGAACCAAATAATAGAAAGGACACAACGACATAGATAATAAAGAGTGAAGAGAAGGGGAGTGAAGAGAAGGGGAGTGAAGAAGTGAGCAGACATGCAGGTGACCTACTTCATGTAGGAAGAGGAGCGCAGTCCTATGTGCAACCCTAGTCTAGGCTGAGCGGCTCATGTGTGGGAGAAAGGGGAGAGGCTGTGGTGAAGCATCTTGCATGAAAGATGAGGCAGTACACCCCTTAGGCTTCAACAAAGTTTGCGGGTATTTGTGGGAGGAGTTCCGGTCCTGCTAGTGCAGATTTGAAGTTGAATTAAGCGACTTCAAAGAGAAAGGGGTAGGTGAATGCCTATTGTGCGAGAAGGAAGAGCCAACCGAGCCCTAACATGTGGTACAAGAGAAGATCGAGCCTTGTGTGAGGTTTGTGAGGTTTTGAGCTGAAGAAAAGGGAGGAAGGAGGCGATTCATACAAGAGTAACATTTTGTTATTATGGGAGAGGAAATGAAAAGCTGATAGGAAGCAAGGAGTCTTGTGAACTAAAAAGAAGAAGAGGAAACAAACAGTTAAAAGCCGAAGTGAGGAAGAGGAAAAGAAGAGTGGATTGGGCGAGGAA